TAAATGAACTCTTGTTTATCCTTGAGAGGTCAGTTGATCTTGTTGTTTCCGGTGCCAAGTGATAACCGGTGCAACTAATCTAACTGATTAGGATGTTGTAACTAAAACCGTTTCACTGATCAGTTGTAACTAATCAACTAATATTTGCCATGTTGGCATTCTGTTAGATTCCAGTTGTATCTTTAATGCCTTCATATAAATACTAAAGGCATACTCTTGTATAAGTATGAAAGGATTTACAATGAAATATCATCTATGCATTTCTTTATGTCTTCTGTGTGTTTCTCTCTATCTGTAAAACTCATCATGGTATCAGAGCCATAAGAGACGAAAGTCTTCATCAATGGCAAACTCATCATCTTCAACTCCAATTACTCCACCAGTTTCTACAACCACTTCGTCAAATCTTCCTTTCCAGTCTCCCATATATCTTCTGTCTAATATTTGCAATTTGATTTCTCTTCGTTTAGATTCCACAAACTATGTTTCTTGGAAATTTTAGATCTCATCACTGTTACGAGCTTACTCTTTGCTAGGTTTTCTTGAAGGATTAAATCCTTGCTCTCATAAGTTTTTATCAGATGAAACTGAAGCTCCTACCACAGAGGTTGATCCAAGTTATCAACAATGACAGATTCAAGATCGGGCCTTAATGACATTGATTAATGCTACGCTTTCGCCATCAGCAATTGTTCATGTTGTTGGTTATAATATATCATGAGATGTCTGGTTAGCTCTGGAAAGAAGATTCTCCTCACAGTCATGAACAAATGTTATTCAACTCAAAACCAGTTTGTAGTCTATTACCAAAGGAACAGATTCAGTTGATGATTATGTGCAGAAAATCAAAGTAATTTGTGATAAACCAGTAGCAGTCTCAGTATTTGTTGAAGAAGAAGATATCATACTATATACGTTGTACTTTACTAAAAACAGAAGAAATTTCTGTTAATGTTGTTCAAAAAGCACAACATACTCAGTTCTCACCTACAACAATGGTTACTACACAGTACAAACCATATAACAATCAACACAATTCAGGAAGGAACAATTTTAATCAAGGACGAAGTGGTAATCAAGGTCGATATGGCAATTAAGGAGGAGGCAGAAATCAATATGGAGGAAGATCTAATTTTCAGTATTAGGGCTCTCATCAACAATTTTCTACTCAAGGCAGGAATCAGACTTTCAACTACAACAAACCACAAATAACTTGTCAGATCTGCAACAAATTTTGTCACAGTGCTTCTAACTGCTATCATCGTATGAATCTTTCTTTTCAAGGTAATCATGGCCAGTATTAGTCTTCCTCTTATCCAAACTCTGCTATGAGGGCCTTTTCAAATTCCTCTTCCTATTCTTCAGTGGATCATCTACCCGATAATCAATTTCCTACCCCCTCTGGTTCACAAAATTAGAATTATTGGTTGACTAACTCAGGAGCATCACATCATCTCACTTCAGATCTTGATAATCTTACTCTTGCTTCTCCTTATCAAGGAGATGCCAGTATTACTGTTGGTAATGGTCATGAACTTCCTATTACTCACTCAGGTCACTCTCTTCTTGTCACTCCTTATTGTTTTAAACTCAATAATGTACTCAGAGTTCTTGCTATTTTTGCTAATAGATTTTTGTTAAGAAATTTTGTCAAGATAATCATTGTCAATTCATGTTTGATTTTAACTCCTTTATCATTCAGGACAAGGCCACCAAGCAAGTCCTCTATCAAGGCAAATGTAGCAATGGCTTGTATCCAATTGTTGGTGTTCAGTCTTCATCTTCATCTCCTATTGTTTTTCTTGGCACCAAAGCAACAGTTCACACATGGCATGATCACTTAGGCCATCCATCTTCTCCAGTTCTGCATCAAATTTTGTCCAAGTCTAATATTCCTTACAATAAATCTGGCTTTCATTCTTGTCAATGTACTCAGTGTTTATATGGCAAAATGTCCAAGCAACTTTTTTCGATTTCTACCACATTTTCAGCTTCACCTTTACATATGTTGCATAGTGATGTTTGGGGTCCTGCTCCTCACCCTTCTATTCATGGCTAATTGGCTACAAATACTATGTTTCGTTCGTTAATGATTGCACTAGATTTACTTGGATATTTCCCTTACTTGCCAAATCAGATGTGTATACTATGTTTACTCAATTTAAGCCCTACATTGAGAATAAATTGTCTCATACTCTTAAAACTTTGCATTCTTATGGAGGTGGTGAATACAGTAGTCTTCAACTCAAGCAATATCTTACTCTTAATGACATTCATCACATCAAATCTTGTTCTCACACTCCTCAACAAAATGGTATTGCTGAGAGAAAACATAGACACATTACAGAAACAGTCATTGCTCTTCTTACCAAAGCTTCTTTACCTTACTCTTTCTGGTTCCATGCTTTTGCAACAACCACCTATCTTATTAATAGGATGTCTAGTAAGGTCACATCTCATAAATCTCCTTATGAACTGCTTTTTCATGAAATTCCAGATTACTCCTCTCTCAAAGTGTTTGGTTGTGCTTGTTATCCTCTTTTGGAACCTTACAACAAACATAAGCTTGAGCCCAAGACCACTCAGTGCATTTTCATTGGCTATCCTTTTGACTACAAGAGATACTTGTGCTATGATCCTCTCCATCATAGGATTTATGCTTCTAGACATGTTTTTTATGAGAATGTGTTTTCTTATGCAACTCAATCTTACACATCTTCATTTGTTTTTCCAGATTCAACTCATTGGTTTCCCTCTACTGTATCCACTAGTTCTGCTTCTGTTTGGGACTTTTCTTCTTCTAATTCTTTTGCATCCATTCCATATCTAAATCCTTTGTTTCTTCATGTGTTTCTTCTTCTCTAGCGCCTCACTCTGAGGTATCTTCTTCTATTTCTCTCATTCCACCTTTACCTACTTCTACTCCTATAGATTCTAGTCCAGTTTCAGTTCATCCTATGCACACTAGGTCCAAGTCAGGAATCTTCAACCCAAAACATATATAGCTACACCTTCTTCCTCTATCTCAAAACCCACTTCTTATACAACTGCTTCTAAATACCCTGAATAGAGGAAAGCTATGGCAGAAGAGTTTACTGCATTCCAGAATCAGGGCATTTGGTCTCTTGTTCCACCTTCTCCCATTCAAAATGTAATTGGCTGCAAGTGGGTTTATCGAATAAAACAAAATTCAGATGGTTCTATCTCTAGATATAAAGCTCGGTTGGTGGCAAAGGGATTTCATCAAGAGGAGGAGGTTGATTTTTCTGAAACCTTTAGTCCTGTGGTGAAGCATGCCACTGTTAAACTCATTCTTGCTTTGGTCACTCAGTTCAATTGGAAGCTGCATCAATTGGATGTTAAAAATGTTTTTTTTCATGGAACAATCACTGAGTCTATTCACATGTCACAACCTCCTGGTTTTATTGATCCACAGTGTCCTACACATGTGTGTCAGTTACATAAATCTATCTATGGTTTGCAGCAGGCCCCTAGGGCCTGGTTTTAGAAATTCACTTCGCAATTGGTCACAAATGGTTTTGTTTCTTCTTCTTTTTTAGATCCTTCTTTGTTTCTTAGAAAAGTCAATGGTTCTCTCACTATACTCCTCTTTTATGTTGATGATATAATTCTCATAGGAAATGATCCTCAATTCATTATCACTCTGAAGCACCAACTAAATCTGCAGTTTGAAATAAAAGATTTAGATGCATTGCATTTCTTTCTTGGTCTACAGATTCAATATAATTCTACTGGTTTGTTTCTCAGTCAGGAAAAATACATTACTAATCGTCTTCAAAAACCAACATGTCTGACTGCAAACCCTGTAAAACTCCTTGTGTAGCTTCATCTAGATTGAGTAAAACTGCTGGTACACCTTTTGCAAATCCATTCTTTTATAGAAGTGTTGTTGGTTCCCTTCAATACTTGACATTTACTAGACCAGATATCAATTTTTCAGTAAATCAGGTTTGTCAGCATATGCAAGCTCCCACAGATGTTCACTTTGCTGCTATGAAAAGAATCTTAAGATACCTCAAAAATACTTCTACATTTGGTATTTCTTATCCAAAAAGGTGGTCTGAGTCTTTCTGCCTTCAGTGATGTAGACTGGGCAGGGGACCCTGATGACAGGAGATCTACTACAGGGTTTATCCTTGCTTTGAGTGATAATCCCATTCACTGGGGCACTAAGAAGCAAACTACTGTGTCTAGGTCCTCCATATAAGCAGAATTCAGGCCCTAGCATATACCACAGCTGAACTTACTTGGCTTCAACTATTGCTTAAGGATCTTCAAGTACTGCTGCCCCAAGCCCCCACTCTCTAGTGTGATAATGTTTCTACTCTGGCCTTAGCATCAAATCCAGTGTTTCATGGTCATACGAAGCATATAGATATTGACTTTCATTTTATCCGAGAGAAGGTTTAAAGCAAAGATCTTGTGGTTCATTATATTTCTTCTACTAATCAATTTGCTAATGTTTTTACCAAGAGCCTTGCTTCTTCTAGATTTCTTCAACTGTGAGACAAACTTATAGTTGGGTCACCACCCATTAATTTGAGGGGGGATGATAACCAGAGCAACTAATCTAACTGATTAGGATGTTGTAACTAAAATCGTTTCACTAATCAGTTGTAACTAATCAACTGATATTTGTCATGTTGTCATTCTATTAGATTCCAGCGGTATCCTCAATGCCTTCCTATAAAAACCGAAGGCATACTCTTGTATAAGTATGAAAAGATTTACATTGAAATATCATTTCTTTCTGTCTTCTCTGTGTTTCTCTCTATCTGTAAAACTCATCACCAAGATCAATCATAATGAGCCTGTTCCTAGTAGAACTCAAACATAGTGTTGAAGTCAAGGCACCTCAATGATGTCCACCAGGGATGTATATGTCACTGCAAACTTCTTTATTCTCTCACCAACTGAAGCCAACACCTAATCCATCTGCATGCATGTTTCGTCCCAGTCATGGCCGAATCGGATGACAACCAGGCGTTACTCCTCCGCGAGAATGGCTTGATTGACTGCCCACCCTAAGTGAAGGTGTGGTAGCAAGTACAACATCTTCAACTCTTCTCCCTTTCTCACACACTGTTCGGTAGCAGGAATGTTAGCAAGACAATTATCTTAATAAATTTGGATTACAGTATTTTATTTTATAAATAATATTGAATATTATTATGTAACTAATTATCAAATAACTAATTTATCATTTAGAAATACCCCAATATAATTTTTTCGTTTGTAAATATCGATACGATATAGTAATGTGAATCTACTATATTGAACCACATTATATTTTTGTATTTTATTTTATTATTTTTAATATCTTAAGTTCTTATCTACCCTTTGACTACCATATCTTTGAATTTTATTTTGCTATCTAACCAGTGCAAATCTGAACACCTTGCAACAAAAAAAAAAACAAAAAAAATATATCATAGATTGGAATGTGAGTGAGATTTTCTCTAATAGATTTTCTTGTTATTTTCTTCTTATTGCATAATTTATCATGCAAAATTCAAGTTAAATTATACCAGATTTCGTCAGCGGTGGGATTTTCATTCCAAACAAGTGAGTCTCTAAATTATTAATAAAAATAATTCGTTCAAAAATTTTAAAAAAAAATTGAAATGTGTATAGGTGCTATATGGGTCTAATTAATCATATTATTCCATATTTAATTTGTATTAAATACTGATTGATTCTTCTATGTCGACCAAATACTGCTCTTACTGTCCACATAAAATACCAATGCGAAGGTGCTCTACCTGCTTGAAAAATTAATGAAATTCTTTTGGCTTATGCGCCCGAATCACCTTATTCTAGTTATACCCCATAGGTTGGCATAAGAGATGGACTTCACCTTGTCTCCATGACACCACAGATTATGACTGCCAAGCATCCCAATAAGTAAAAAAATATTTGATTACACCGGTAAATACTTTTAAGTACTTAATGAATTAAACTTATTTAATAATCTAAAATTCATACCACTTGATATGTTAAGCACTTAAGTAACAAACCTCCTATTTATCATTGCTAAAAATATGAGCAATGCTACATAGATTTAAAAATTAAACTTGATAATCTCAGTCATTGATTTCACTATGGGTTCTAGCATTTATTGAGACCCATTACCTATTCGAGATTATCAAGTCTAATTTTTAAGTCTATCTAATATTACTCTAAAAATATTAGTCAGTAAAATTTTTATCAATTCTTCATAATGGACAAGCATAATCTTAATGCATTTTACATTCTTAACTTTTCAATACCCACCATCCACCATCACCAAATTGTGTTGCCGTCGCCGCCTCTACCATTGTGCCACTAATATTACCGTCACCACCACTATCATTGTGCCACCCCCACCCCACCCCCACCCCCACCCCCCCCACCCCCACCATTACTGCGTTGTCGTCATTGCCATCACTGCCTCTATTGCCACTACCATTATCACTGCTACTATCATTATGCCAACGCCACCACTATCACTGCCACCATTGTGATGGTGTTGATAAAAATAATACAATTGCAAAGAGATAATTAAATAAAAGGCAAAATTAAAATAATAATAATAAATTTTAAAATTCAACCCTTTATATAATTATATTTGTCAAATAGTTTGATTTAATTCAATACTTAAATTTCAATGAATACCAAATAATCTGTGAATTAACAAATTTAACATTCAACACCTAAAATTCATTGAGTGTTCCACTTTAATTTTATCACCTAAAATGGGAGCAGGTGTGTGATATTATCTTTGCTAAAAGACAATAACCACATATGGTGTAGAGCTTGAGGGGGCGCTTTGGGGGAATCCCAAGAAGCAGATCAACAAACCACATTGGCAAAAAAATTGAGCTAAGAGTTATAATGAACTGTTCAATTGATTTCCAAGCAGCCCCCTGAGATTTATAGCCTAGTATGGTATAAAAGGCCCAATGAAACTTGTCTAAATAAAATAAATATCATACAAGGTCCCAATTTTCGTGCAAGGCTACAAGCAGTTCTCCTAAAATGAAACAGCATTCAATGTATCATAGAAACTGAGCGACGAAAACTAGATAACAACAAAAGCAATACATGATCTTTGTAGACAAGAGCCCAAAATAAGATGGAGATATTGTAGAGAAACAAATTGCAGAGGTCGCATAAGAAAAAATGTGATGAGATAGTGTAGAAAAACAAAACAATCTCAACATACGGCAATGCATAAATGCAGCAGCAGCAGCATTTCTTCAATATTGTAAAATTCAATACATAGAATATGCAACAAGTATTTCATGAGACACAAAACAGACCTTGATGAAGCCAATTTCTTTTACATTGCTGCGAAAGCACTGCCTGCAACACATGAGTGCATACTTCCTGATCAACCCATGTGGGTTTCCGCAGACACGGCTGTTAAAAATCAAGCAAATAAGATGAGTATTTCTTCAATACAATCAAGCCCTTTCTGTAGCATCTTCCTTTAAACAATTTCCAGTAACTTTATTTTTTGAAAGAAACAAAGACTATATTAATAGAACAAAATGGATGTAGAACAATGGTATAGATGGACAAGAAGTCCAGCCAGAATACATAAAAGCACTACATTAAAACAGAAAAAATAAATAAATAAAAAAACAGAAAGTTATACAACATCAAGACAACCACAAACAGCCATCCAACTCGCCATTGACTAAATGGGTTCATTCTCATGAAAATTCTTTTTTGTCTCCTTGATTGATGATTATTCCCTCCCAATTTTTTTATCTATCTTTGAAGATTGGGAAGCCTAAAGCACCTTTGAAAGTGTCACTGTGTGCATGGGTTATGACTCATGGCAAGATTAATACCAATGATATGCAACAAAAGAGAAGACCTAATGCATGCCTTTATCCACAATGGTGTGTAATATGTGTAGGGTTGATGGTAAGAATGTGGATCATTTATTTTTGCATTTTTAAATTGCTTGGTATTTGTGGAATACTAGGAAGTGCAGATACTTTCCAGAGGGGTGTTGCGGAAGTGTCACACGGTCAGACAAGTGTCCGACACGGTTAGAAGTGTCTTAAACAGTAAACTCAGTTAAACACTACCAAGACACGACATGGCTAGGACATGGAAAGGGATTTTTTAAAAAAAACCCTACTGTTAACTATTAAAATGAGTGTGATTTCTGTTTTAAATATATCTTTTGTTATGTAACTTATATATATGAATATTAATAGATGCAATGATATTTGATGAAAATGGTGAATATTCATTTTGATCTATTTCAATTTTAATCAAAAAAATAATATAATATATGCTTTATTTTTAATATATTATAACTCTATTATTATCTAAAAACTATATTATATTATTTTAATAAACATATATTTTCAAAATTTACCGTATTCCAAGGTTTGTATATGTCCTTCATAGGTGGAATAAATTGTTTGAAATGGTATGGCTTTCTTGGGTGGCTCAAAAATTTATTTCTACTATGTTTTGTGTGGAATGTAGTGGTTGAGAAAGGAAGAGCAATGGAGCTATCATTTGGGTGATTTGGTTGGAAAGAAACTCAAGAATTTTTGAGAACAAGTATGAGGTGCTTGAAGGTTTTGCACTACCTTGATAAAAACAAGGTTTTGCACTACATTTGGAAACATTGAATTCAACCATTAATCTTAGAATCTTCATTGAAAACTAACGCAAAATTCGAATCAGATTTCATCCAACTACAATTCCAAGGCCCTAACCCCATGTTGCCAAATGCAGTATATGCTAACAAACTACAGTACTCGAGGCCAAATCAGTACAGTCCAAACAACAAACTCTCATTTGCAAGTAAGATTTTGATTTCACGCACACAATATAACCCAACCCAACACAATATATTCCAATTTTGCACATATACATAAAAAGACATACGTACTAAATGAGTTCGATAAACTAACATCATATCATAAAACTTAATATGATTAAAGTCAGACAAACAAACAAACAATGGGGAATAACCTAATTTTCAACAAAGAACACAAACAATAATCAAATCAATAATTATGAATTAAAAGCAAAAAAACACATGAAATATAGGCTCACCAAGTACGCGACCCAGGGCCAAAGTTCTTGGGATGTGAGTTCCAAACGTTCGAGTGACCCATTTTTCTACGGTTGTATCTGTATTTTAAGAAAATCCCTAATTTCAGAGGCGATAAGCAAGAGAAAGTGGAACACAGGAGCGAATACAGAAATTGAGAGGCAGCTCTGCAGAAACCCTAATTCGAGAACGCTGTTCTCAGCTCTTTAAGGTTAGATAGTTGAATCGAAGTGTATTCCCCATAATACCCTTAATAAGAATCTGTAATTACTCATGAGCCTGAACTTTTTTTGTTTCCCAAATTGCCACTGTTCTTTTCTGTCCCCTCAACTATTGTACTTACAAGTTACAAGTTCCCAGCAATTACCTCGCTTTCCTCCTCTTCTCTGATACGATTCCCGCCAATTTCAGGTTCTCTCTCTCTCTCTCTCTCTCTCTCTAATTACTCTTTTTCTGGTTCTTCCTTTTAGTTATTGTTCATTGTCCAAAATCTGATTCTTTTCGAAACAATTTTGAGATTTTTATTCTGATCTAAGAATTCTTCTTGAATTCTTGAAATCGTGATAATCGCATATTATGATTATCATATGTATCTCTTGATTCTGCAATTTTAGTTCTTAAAACCCAAATGGCCATTGTAATAAGACTTAAAAAAGTCAAATAAAGGTACCCAGTGTTGTAATTGTTCATACCTTAGGCTGCATGATAATTTAATGATTAGTTACTGTTTTTCCCTAGCTTGTGCGTGCTTTGATGTCAATCTTGAATTAGACTACAATGTTTTGTGTTTTTTTTTTCCAGAAAAAAAATGAACCAATTTTCTGAATGTTGTTTGTTTGTGAGGTCGCATAGGTTGGTTAGTGGAAATGAAGAAGTCACTGTTGCCTGTGCAAAATATATGCGGATCAAAGAAGCAGATACAGGGGAAGGAAGCTTTAGTGAAGCTGTTAAGATGGCATTTTGGGCACTCTGAATTCCGGGGAACGCAATTGGAAGCCATCGAAGCTGTTTTATCAGGTCCCTTTAATATCATCTACATTAAAGTGGTCTTTTTGGATTTCTTTTATCCTTCTTTTCATCTCTTTGATGTGTGTGGCGTTCTTGGAAATTGGCAGCAATGTGGCATTTGGTTGTGCTAATAGCGATTGATTCGAATGCAGGAAGAGATTGTTTTTGTCTCATGCCAACTGGTGGTGGGAAGTCAATGTGTTATCAAATCCCTGCACTGGCTAACCCAGGGATTGTGCTTGTTGTTTGCCCTTTAATAGGTGAATGCTACTAATTTCTTGTTTTATTTAATATCTCTATGGAGGAATCATAAGCTGCCAGTTTGTTTGACTTTCAAGTGCCAGGACACAACTTGATTGCTTCTGTTGGTGTGCCATTTTATTAACAGCTTTGATGGTAAGTGCCTTCCAACTTTCTTGCTCCAATTTTTTTCAGGTGTTCATCCTGGAAGATTAATAAGATTGTTTTAACACCCCCAATCAGGAAAACCAAGTAATGGTATTGAAGGAGAAAGGAATTGCCGCTGAATATCTTTCCTCAACTCAAACTTCACAAGTGAAAGATAAGGTGATTGGAATTTGAATTTGAATATTCTTTTCTTTTGTGTGAATGGCAGAAAAGTTAGGCATATAAAGTTGGTAACCATGATTTTTTTTTTTTGGAGGGGGGGGCGGGGCGCAGTTTTTCTTGGCATGAATGCTTCATTAGGATTTAGGAGGAAGGGAAGATGGTGTTACATGTGGAGTACTTTCTTGGCAGGATATTGTTGTACAAAAACACCAGATAATTAAGGTTGCCTTGCCCCTATCATAATGATAAGCTCTGTAGTGTTACTAATGCAGTCATTTGTCAACGTGTTGAGCAGAATTAACCGTCAATGGTGTGTGATGTGATATTGATAAGTTCCACTCTACAATCCATGATCTTTTTAACAAAATCCAGTTCAAGTTGTCAGTTGGTTTATGGTGATTCACTTGATGTGACATAAAATAAGTTGCTGATTAAGTTTATTTAGTGTCAGTCTTGACTTAGTATTGAGGACCTGAAGATGTATAATCAATTTCTAGTTTTTAGATGCATGAACAATAATTGAGTTCCCTCTTTGGGTAAAATTCTACCTTCGGTAGTATTGATTTTGAGTTTGTTCACCAATGCTAATCATATGATTGATTTGGTACCTTTTTTCTATCATTCTCATTTTACTTCCATTTCATGCAACAACCAGCATCACCATTCCACTTATTATTGTACACATGTCAAACTTATTCTTGAATCTGGTTCCTAACAATTAGTTTTCTGACGTCTATTCACATTAGCAGCTTCTTGGTCACTGTCCCAAAAATGTAATAAATATTTAGTTCTGCACTAACTCTGGCTTCTTTATCTGGATTTTAGATCCATGAAGACCTTGATTCTGGAAAGCCATCCATAAGATTGCTTTATGTGACACCAGAATTGATTGCAACATCAGGATTTATGTCGAAGCTAACAAAGATTCATGCTAGAGGATTGTTAAATCTGATTGCTATAGATGAGGTCTGAATTTCCATGACCCCTAGTTGTGATTATAAGTACATTCAATTGGTTTCAGCTGGAAGCTGCTGGTGTTGGTATATAATTCCACCTGTTCCTCAAATTCTCAGGCACATTGCATCTCAAGTTGGGGCCATGACTTCAGGTTACTTATCCAATCCATCTGCAGATGTCTTTAGTTACGTTATTTGTTTATACTCATCTCAGCTCAACAACGCCCTGTAATAACTACATGGGAATATTAACAATGATCTTGCAGTGACTGTCCTTCCTAGCATGCTATATTTCATTAATGATGTCATCACACATCAAACTTAGGTAACAGTAGGACTGGGTTTGTTTTTTGTTCTCATGGAGACGCAAATATGTCTCCATCATACTGGACTCTTGGAGTCCCTTTGTTGGTTCAATGTCTTGGTATTGATTTTGGTCACAATGGAAACTTTTGTTGGTTTAATGTCTTGGTATCTCTAACTTTTCTTTTGTTTGTATTGTGCAGGCCTAGCTATCGGAAGCTTGCTTCTTTAAGGAAACACCTACCAAATATTCCAATATTGGCATTGACAGCTACTGCTGTTCCTAAGTGAGTGTTGCAATGCCCTATTTCTGAAAAAAAAAAAAAACTATGAAATTCAATCCTTTATATCCTCACAAGAAAGGATCTAGGATTTTCCTGTATTTTCGACAGCTCCAATACTTCAGTATTTCCCCTACTCTACCCCTGTCCCCAAATTTTTATACTTTTGTCGGAACTCAAAATTTTGGGGTACTCTCGTGTTTGTCTCATAAGTAGAGTCTCGCCAAAGTATTATTGTACAAGTTGATTGTTGTTGTTTACTTTTTCTGATAGATCTGTGTAATGTACTTCCTTGGACATAATTGTTGCGCTGTGAAGACTAGAAATAACCAATTAGGTTTACGATGAAACCTACAAATTGACCATTACTGCTCCAATTTGAGTATCTCTACAGGATATACCTTAATTGAAAACTGAAGAGTCACAACAAGAAGTGATTGAGTTCAATAGTTTCTTATAAAATTATTGACTCTAGAGATATAATAATGTGGAGAAGATAAAATTGTTTCTAGCACCAACAGAACCGAAAGCGTGAAGCTGGCATAGTATTTGTTCAAAAAAGTGAACTGTATTATGTGTTCCTTAATTTTTCAAATAATCCTAGCTTTACTGCAACTTTCTCTTGCCCACAATTTTTGTTCAGAACAATATCTTCTTGGCGAGAAGGTGCACGTCTTATCTGCTGATTATTATTTTGTTCTACAGAGTACAAAAGGATGTGATAGAGTCCTTGTGCTTGCAAAGCCCTCTGGTCCTAAAATCATCCTTTAATCGTCCAAATATATATTATGAAGGTAGGCAAAATAGCTTTTGTAGTTGATTTGTGTAAGGTAGCTTGTGGGGTGGGAGTGCAATTCGATTGCTTGAGACACTTTTTTGACTGTGCAAAGCATAGTTAGCATGTACCTGTCTAATTTCCTACATAACACAGTTCGATACAAGGATCTTTTGGACGATGCATATGTCGATTTAGGAAATCTACTCAAATCTTCTGGAGATGTTTGTGCAATTGTTTATTGCCTTGAACGTACAACTTGCGATAATTTGGCTGCTCATCTATTAAAGAATGGCATATCCTGTGCTGGTAACCAAATGGTTTTATTCTTCTCTCCTAAACTTTTCTGCCTAAGGTTTTCTTATCATGTTTTTTTTTTGTTTTTAATGTGCTTTCAGCATATCATGCGGGATTGAACAATAAATTGCGGAGTTCTGTTTTGGATGATTGGATTTCTTCTAAGACACAGGTGGTAGTGGCTACAGTGGCTTTTGGGTATGTTTATTTCCTGATTTTACACAAAGGGTGTGTTCTTTTTCGTGAACCAATTATAATATCATCCTTATAGGTGCCACTCTTCTTGTGACTAAAGCCACTTCTGGAGTTTTCTTGCATCTTAATCTGATGCATTAGATCTTTGGTGAATAGATAAAATAGTGGGGAAGTTATGTGCAGTAATGTGGGTTCGAATCTGCGGTTGGCCACTTCGTGCAGATTATGCCAAAAGTTAGGCTACCTCTTCCAGCACTCCAACATTGGTGAAGTCAACATGAATATCAGCCTTTAGTCCATCAATGTCATGGAAAATCATCTATTTCAATTTAATTCGGGCAAATGAGATGATCATTTTCTTACCTACCCATGCTCAACTCATTTGTAGATTTGGAAAACTACAGTACATCACAATGTGCCTGAATTATGTTGTATCGTACTGCTAATCACACCGGGACTTTGGAAGAGAATATATTACCACATGGCATTTTCTCTACCTGATATTTACATACATTGATGCCTTCAAAGTAGGGCCGTTAATCAAACTGAGCTACTCGAGCTTGGCTTGAATTCAGCTTAGGTTCAGCTCATTCAAACTGGGTTCGTTTTTTAAATGAGCCCAAACTTGAAGAAGTTTTTAGGCTCGTTTAGAAATTAAGCTCTATAAGCTCGGCTCAAACTCGATTGGCTCGACTCGTTTATGTGCAAATACTCGGGTTCGGCTCGAGCTCGACTTTTTTTTGACTCGTTCAGGCTCGGCTCGTTTCCTAAATGAGCTGAACTTGAATAATTTTTTAGGTTTAATCAAGAAACAAGCTTTTCAAGCTCGGCTCGGGCTCGTTCGACTAATAGTCCTACTTCAAAGCGTAAGTGACTGAAACATGCTTGTGGACAAGGCTTTCTGATAATTAGGTGGATTAAATATATTTTTCTTGTAGTAGTTTGACAATCAGGGTCCCAATCAAACAATGAGTAACACTCAAGACCTTTGATAGAAAGGAATATGTAATTTTACATCAGTTTAACTTTTTTGTAATCTTACTTTTGTTGATTAGCTAACATTGCTGACATAATATCTCTTATGACACTGAAACAAAAAATAAAATATGACGAGAATGTATAATCTGAAATAGAGGAAGGTAGTGCCTTCGTTGAAGCCAGCTACATGCAACCAGTCACATTGCATAGTGGTGGTTCCCTTGATTCCAGATGTTGGGAGGGGTAGACTTACCCAAACCTAGCCCATCAGTTCTTTTTGTTCTTGCAAGAAGTGGCTGCCTTAACAAAAAATGTGCCATGCCATGCTTTAATGTGTTTTGAGATGCTTTCACATGCAATTTTATTTATACACTTAAAACTCTTGATTAACTTGAGATTGTCATATATCTGTTGGTATTTTTGTCGCTGGATTTTATTTGGAGCAATCCTGGTGCATGCACGGTTTTTTGAGCTAATGGTGTTCGTTCAGGATGGTATGCAACTGTTACTAGCAATTTTAACAAGTTCTTATTCTAGCCTCTTTCAAGTTTCACTATCAGTGGATATGAATTAATGTACTATGAACAATATTTGTAGGGTATAGATCGTAAGGATGTCAGAATTGTTTGCCACTTTAATATTCCCAAGTCGATGGAAGCCTTTTATCAAGAGTCGGGTAGAGCTGGTCGTGATCAATTGCCCTCTAGAAGCGTGTTGTACTATGGAACGGATGACCGCAAAAGAATGGTTGGATCACCATGTTTGCCTATTTCAATTGTTTTATTTTCAAGGTGGTTATCAGAATTTGAAATCTTCAAAAAAATATACTGCAGGAATTTATTCTCTTCTTTTTTTTTTTGGGGGGGGGGGCGCGGGGGGGAGTGCAGGAATTTATTTTAAAAAGTGCTGAAAGCAAGAAGTTGCAGTCCTCAGGTTCACAGGATGGGTCCTCAAAGAAGTCCATAGCTGATTTCAATCAGGTAGCTATTCCAACCTATCTATAATGATATGTTAACCTTTTCTTGCATAGATTCGCATATATCTTGACTGAATAATGCAAGCAGGTGGTTGAATACTGTGAAGAGTCTAACTGCCGTAGGAAAAAGATCCTTGAGAGTTTCGGGGAACAGGTACTTGAATTCATCATTATGTGTAATCCTTTTGTACATTAGGCTACTTTTTTTTCATTATTTAATGCTCAAAAGATGCCACTTACATGTTGTCTTGGAAAAGTAGGTGACTGCATCATTATGCAGACGTTCATGTGATGCATGCAAACATCCACATTTAGTTGCCAAGTATTTGGAGGAGCTTATGACTAGTGCTTTGCGCCACGGAAATGGATCCTCTCGAATATATATAAGCAGGTAATTTATTTCCAATCATGTAAATATAGGAGTGTTGGGATCTCTGATTGCATCGGTAAACTATCAATAGATGCGTTAGCTTTTGATACAGGCTCATTGCTATTGTTAAACAGGCATAAAAAAACTCGATTTGTGATAGGACTCCAGAATCAAGTATATGCTTCCTCCAAAAAGTTTTCATTAGTTTCCTAATTACCTAATAGACTATAAACATGGGAAAGAGCAGTACAAATCTTTTGTACTATTATGGGTTTGTTTGATTAATCATTTCATCTACAGCTAAACTGCTAGGATCATCCTAATTCCTGTTTTTGCATTGAGTCTCAATTTTTTTTAATCCTTTGTCACCATAAAGGTATTCTTTCTTGGATGTTTTTGTGTGGCTGATAATATAGATTACCTCTATAAATCAACTGGTCTGCAGCTTGGATATGCTGAAAAAAGAACCTCAGCTTATTCTTTGCTGCCAATATAGCTAATTGCTAACCTTCGTAGATAATGGCAGTAGTCAATGGAGAAATGATTAACGCAATGCATTTTCTTCCATGAAGAATCTTGCAAATAAAGGCCAGGAAACATGTCCAGCAGTGGTTTCTCTTAATTGAGTGCCTAAACTAAGACTATGACATGGGATAATAATCAGAAAATCAATATGGTTTCATTTTTAACCCAAATATGCCATGGAAGCTATGGTCTTACTTATAGTGAATGATGGAAAAGTTTGTAACTTGTGATTACTTGAAAAGAAATTCGAAGGCAAAGGAACAAAGGGATAATGTGTCATGTATTTTTGGAAAAGGAAGGAGTTTCAATGTGCATATTTATGTGATTGGGGTTATGATGAGTGGATAGCATACAAACAATCACTGGACAAACAAGTGAACCTCCAACCATCATAATCTCTCATCCAGTGGGGCATCATGCTGTGAGCAATAAAGTTTTAGATTGTAGCAGACCTATATGTAATTTATGGAGTGCAACTATATCAATCATTTGCTGAAACGAGAGAATATTAACAGTGAATGTCAAAAGGAAATGCACAATTGTGTTGTTTGGGTTGCCTCATCTAGTAAACAAGGAATGGTCTGATCTAATCAACGCAGTCAGAATTCAGAACCAACTCTATATATTACAATGCACCAGATTCTGTGGTGTAACAATTTTGCATGAGTTTAAGGACCAATTTTCTAATCTCTGATGGCTGATTAGATCTTGTGGCTTACTAGGATAGAAAGTTCATCTGCAGCAGTTTCTGTATTGTTGGGTTGATCAGTTTGTTTCCTAAAGGATAGCTTTTAGGATATAGACGTATAGCCTACATTCTGAAGTGAACTTTATGTTCTATAATGCTGCTGATTCCTCGATGTTTGTTCTGTTTCAGCTCCTCAAATCTCATTGACAAAGAACAATTCTCCGAATTTTGGAACCATGATGATGACGAAGCAATTGAATCAGAGGAAGATATATCCGACTCCGATGGTAGATATCAATTGTGCTGATTACGTAACAAAGAGCCTGCTTGTGTGATCTGTGCATGATTTATTGATAATCATATCGTAAAACTCTGTTTTGTGTTTCCCTTTTGTTCTATGTTTTTCCTCATAAATTGAGCATTCAACTTCCAGATGGTGTTGATGTTGCAAAAACCCTGGCTCAGTCAAGCTTGCCATCAAAAAGAAGATTAAATGATCGGATTATGCTGCTGCAGCATGCAGAAGAAAAATATTATCAGAACAAAGTCCCTGACAAGCAGGTGGACTTATGACATTCTTGAAGCTCTGTGCTTTGATGTCTTCCTTTTTTTTTATGTCTTCCTTCTTGATATGCACTATATTTGGGACTATCGACAAGTGGAATTTTTGCATTTAAAGTTCTGGATTTGAATACATACTACTGATGCTTGGGGAATTTAGATATGCCCTTTTATGGAAGAGAGTTAGTCTCTCTGTTTATGAGGATATTGAATTCACCTTTATCAAATTGGTGACACATATAGGAACCACTATGATAAACAACCATCTACTCTAAAAGTTCAAGTTATTAGAGAGTTTGTAACTGAAATATTTATACTTCAACACACGTCCTTGCGTTCGGGCTAGATTTTTTGACGGCGATATTAAAACACAAACCTCCTGTTTTGATACCATGTTAAATAACCATTTTTTCTAAAAGAATTTGTTTCATCATCCATCAAGTTGCAATTTGTTTGCTCCATTATAAACAACGATTAGATATTGGCAGTGGGATTAGTTAGTAAGATGCTTCTACTCTGTATTTTTGTTCTTTTATTGTTAGTTACTCAGAACTCCATTTGCTTCGGCAGGTACTAAAATTTGTTGCTTGTACAGGTCAAGAAACTTGACAAGAATGCCATATCTGAAACACTCAGGGAGTCAAGCAAGCAAAGATTATTAAATGCTCTTAAGCAGATCCAGCAGCAGCTCACCCATGTACAGTATGTGCACCTCTTCTATTGCTGATATGTTATAAACTGGTCTTGAGCACAACTTTATTATCATAAATAATCCATTTTCCTATAATCAACCGTGGGAACATCCTTATTTGCTCTCTTCTGCAGGATTGATTTTGAAGCATCTGCCACCATTCTAGAAAATGAATGCCACAAGAAATATGGGAAAGTTGGAAAATCCTTTTACTTATCACAAGTGGCGAGTACAGTGAGATGGATTCCAACCGCAAACATGGTTGAATTAACCAATAGGCTTGGCATTGCTACCAGTCCTGCTTCCGAGCACATAAGCTCGAAAACAAATTCCTCTTTAATGTCACCGACTATGTTGGATCAGGTATCAACAGAAGTTAGTAGCGAAGAAGTCCATGGCAGTGCTAGATCAGAAACTCCTTCAAGCGCATTGCAAAGCATTTCCCAAGATATAAAGCTGCCTCCAGTCCCATCTTTTTCGGAATTTGTAAGCAGCAAAAAATCTAAGGAAAACCAAACATCCACATCGAAAAAGCAGTCCTCCAACAGAGTTCCAATGAATCTGGAGAAGAGAATGAGATATCAGTAAGTTGAAACTGATACTACTTCTGTATGTTTGTGTTTTGCATGCACCTGATCACGGGCATACTTGTTACCTTTTCGTTGGCCCCAAGGGACAGCATAGTTTCCGCAGCAAATTCTTCTACATATGGGCTTCTTTTCTATTTATTGTCAATCACCAAGGGTTCATTCCTCCATGCCTGTACAGTCAGATATAAAAAATTAACAGTCACAGATGATATCTGATTTTACATAGCACGTAGCCTTTTGTTTGTAGGCTGTTAAATTTTGGTGATGTCAATGTATTTTATGGATTTGGATTCTCTGTTGTTTAGTTTTTTAACAGTAGGGGTGTTGTTTTTTAAAACGACATTGTTTTACACCAACATGACATCTTTTTATTAAATAGAACGACATCGTTTTGGTGTTAAACGACGTTGTTTTGAAGGATAGCACCTCTGTTGTACACAAGAGGATTTTGTTTAGAATTTCCCAACCCATCACCATACCAGGCAAACCTTCACAAAAATCCAGTAATTTTTTGTATTTCCTTCAAACACAACCTCCAAAGCCACCACCAACCCCCAAAACATCACAGGGGTCTCTATTGTAACAAATCTTTATATACAAATGCGAAATTATGACACGGTATTATTGTTACATTGGGTTTGGCATGTTTGTTTCAGATAAACTTAAAGAGAGCATCCACGAGTGTGTCTGTGCTGTTGGATTGAAATAGAGAGAGAGAGAGATTGTGTGTGTGGTTGGATTTAGAGAGAGGTAGAAGTGTGTTTGTGGTGCCTTCGTATTTTGTATAGAGATACAAGGGAGTGAGAAACATCTCGTGGTTGTAGGGTTGTTCCATTGTGATTTGGAGGTCACAACTTCGAATCATAAAAACCTCTTTGTTTGGAAGGATAAAATTGAATATATTTAACTCTTCAGATTCGTAATGACAAGAGTCTGATCAAGAAAATACACTTTTTACACAAGAAAATGAAAAAAGTAGGGTGATAGTAAAAAGAGTTTAATGTCTTTTTTTGGTGTTTTGGTTCGGATTCGAGTGTAGCTTTTGTTTAGTGCTTCGAGTTTGGGCTGGATAAGTTTTATTTGTTTTAATTAAAATGTACCATTAAAGGTAAGAGCAGTCATTTTATAATTTCGTTATGCAATTCAAAAAAAGAAAAGGAGTTTGTATAATTTAAGGACAAAAATAGAATTTCAATATAATTATTTTTTTTCTAAAAAATCAAATAGCACAATAATTTTTTTTTAATTCAAATTATGATTAAAATACATCACTAATATATACAATTTAACACACAAAACCGTATTATGTAATTATTGTGTCAAAATATATTAGAATATAATAATATTTTACACTCTCTAAAACCAAATATATAAAACAAAGCCTTCCCACCACATTTCCTAGTTTTTTAGAATTTAAAAATTGTTAATTCAAAATCTAAATCCTCCCTCTAATGAAATACTATCACATGTTATTTGTAACCACTTCTCAACTCACCCAATAACCCACCCTTATTTTTTAAAATTTATTAAAAAAATTATCACCAAAAATATTTTCATAATTATTTTATCTAACTTTTCATATGACATAATAAATAATAAAAAAAATATGAAGTACTACAATCCCTTGCATCGCCCCGGATGGAACCATGTGTGTGTGTGTATATATCTATATAATAAAACATGAGTGTATTTGAATTTTGTCCCAGTCATATTTTCCTTCTCAAAAATATCATCAATCACTTATCTCATCCATCATCCTTTTGTCAAACTCAAACATTAAATCGCATTACTCTTTTCTATCACATATTTAATTATTTATATATTTCTTCCCTAAAAATATTACACCACTTATTTATATCATATATTTAATTATTTAATATTTGATTAATTTATAATTAATGTATTTTGAAAAAATTTAATATAGTGGTATCGATTTTTTAGACGCTTGAATTTTATATTTTATCGTGCCTTTATGCACAGGTTATAACTAGTATATATATATATATGCCACATTCTATTTAGCACACAAATTAGACTTAGTCAAGGCTTCACAAATTATAGTTGAGGGATGGCAACCACTAAATATGAATACAAGAGGGGGGCCTTGTGTAATTACACAAAAACAAGCATTTTTTTTTCCCCACAAGTATATTAGGAAACCTATGTTTCATGATTTCTTCGTCACCGTCTCTGTCTTGGAGAGAAAGCTTCTATTTCTTCTTCTTCTTCGATTTCCAAACTCTATTTCAAATCAAATCAACGTAAAAACACTGAAAAAATCGAAATGAGTCGTGGTAGTGGAGGTGGCTACGATCGTCACATAACCATTTTCTCTCCGGAAGGTCGTCTTTTTCAAGTCGGTAAGCATACCTTAATATACACTTTATCTCCATGCCCCATCTCATGTTCAACTCCCACTGAATTAGGGTTTTTTTTTTCCTGTGTTTCTAAAATTTTGGGATTTGATTTTGAACAGAGTATGCGTTCAAGGCTGTGAAGGCGGCTGGAATAACCTCGATTGGTGTGCGTGGGAAGGACTCGGTTTGTGTTGTTACACAGAAGAAAGTTCCGGTTCGTACAATTAGCTTATTTTTCCCTTCTTTTTAGCGGTCGAAGTTGTGGGTTTTTGTATTTTGATCTTGGGTTTTTGAGAAATTGTCATATGTAAATCTAATGTGCAGGACAAGCTTTTGGATCAGACTAGTGTGACCCATTTGTTTTCTATTACCAAGTACCTTGGACTGTTGGCTACTGGCACGACAGGTGTGTCTCCTTGAGCTTTCTCACTAAAATCAACTTTGAATCTTGGAATTCACTAAGTTGAAGAAATTACCGGAACTTTTATAGTTTTGAACTAGTAATTTTCTTTGTGAAATATATGCAATTTGATTAAATTTCTGTGATTGGATGGGCGAACCAGGATATAAGAAAAAAGATCATTCTAGGTACTTATTTTAAAATGGAATGAACTATACTTGTTATCTGGAATGAGGATGCTGTCGCACAATTGTGCAGCCCTGGAAGCCCTTGGATTAGATTAGATTGCTTGTAGCTTGAAATTAGCTACAAAATCTCATGTGACGGTTAAACTGAGATTTCTTTTATGAGGAGAATCTTTAATACATAGAAATTTGAAGCTTTACTGCCACATAATTGTATAAGCTATTTATTCATTCTGTTGCTCCGAATATTGCTTTACTTGGAGCTGCAATCAAACATTTTGGGGACATATTATTGTCTTCAACCAACCTTGTTTGAACGTAGTTGAAAATGTACATGGAAATCAACTTAGAAGCTTGTTTTGGTTGACCGTCTTGGATATGAGCAAAGAATTTGGTATTCCTATTTAGCGTTTTCGGTAATTTTTTGATAATGTTTTCCTTCTCATTTTCAGCTGATGCAAGGACCTTGGTCCAACAAGCCAGGAATGAGGCTGCTGAGTTTCGTTTCAAATATGGATATGAAATGCCTGTGGAAGTATTGGCCAGATGGTATGCTAATATTGTTTCATTCATATAATAGTTGCTGCTTATTGTTCGAGCATTTCCCTTATTTTTGGGTTGTCCTAGGGATCCATTGCATTCATTTTTGTCCTCATGGAGAAGCAAGTTTAAGATTGATAGTTAAGGCCAAACTTTATAGCTCCTTGGAGTGATTTGGAATGTTGTTTGGGCTTTGACATGATCTCTCATGGAGACAAATACTTCATTTAGCATACTTGACGACAAATTCCTAATTAGTTGATACATAAATTTTTTGTGATTTCAGGATCGCAGACAAGTCTCAGGTTTATACTCAACATGCCTACATGAGACCCTTAGGAGTAGGTTTGTACCTGATCGTTTATCTTGCGGAAGATCTTTGTCATATTGAGGAATATCATTAATTGGATAGTGTGTAAATAATTATTCATTTTTGATCCATTAATTTTCGTGGTTCTTTGGGAATGTTGCCATCCATTATTTTCTTTTCTTGTTTTCAATGTGAAGTTGCTATGGTTTTGGGTATTGATGATGAGAAAGGACCTCAACTATTCAAGTGTGATCCAGCTGGCCATTTTTTTGGCCACAAGGTATTCTTTTTTTTTTTTTCTACACAGAAACTGATTTAAGTTGTTTGGTACGAATGTTTTATGCTTGCAGTGCGTGGTATTTTTCTTGTGATACAACACCATTTTGCGCCACCATATATGAAGCATTGTCTTCTTCATGTCCTTAGATTGTAATGCAGGCTGCACTGGTATTAGAAATGCTTATGATCAGGTAAAATGCAGTTCTGATGTGAAGTTGATAGTTGCATGAAAAACATTTGTTAGGTTAAGGTGGGAGCAGTAGAAATAATTATTATTGGATCGAGTGGTTGACAAAAGTTCTGACTGAACTGCCCGTTCCTTAAGATTCGAAATCTTGGACTCAAGGACAAAACTGAAATATTCTTTTCCTCTCTTCCGAATGTCTCTCTTGCTTCGGTAATCCGACCGTCCCTCTCCTACCCCCGTTTTCTGCCTTTTTTTTCCTTTTTATGCCAATGTCTTCTCTTTTGATTTTCTGCAGCCATGTCTGCATAATGGAACTTTTTCCGGGGATCCATAGGGGTGCTTTGAGAAGCAAAAAATAACTTGACCATGATTTCTCTAACTATTGTGGCAAAAAAATGAAGTCCAAATAAGAGAGAGAGAGAGAGAGAGAGAGAGAGAGAGAGAGAGAGAGAGAGAGAGAAGGAAAGGAATGACTATTCTGGGCGGGAGAGGGGGGCGGTGGGGCCCTGGAAAGCACCATTTGCTGGGGGAACAGTTTGGGGAAACAGGTTAAAGTACATCTATAAAATGTGTTACATAAGAGGAAAAAGGGAGTGTTTACTAACACCCTTGGCAATATGTACCGAAGATTAATAGGTTTTGGTTTTTTGTTGAAAGACAGCAATTTGCATCCCTTGCTTTACTTAAACATGAACGTAGCCTACCCCAGTTGCATACTTTTCGTATTTTCTTTAATCTAATTTGGTGAGATTGGCATCAATTATACTCTAAATGATATTTGGTGCTTTCATAAACAATTAAGGTTTCTAAATGATATTTGGTGCTTTCATAAACAATTAAGGTTTTGAATGTTTACGTTATTGCTGGTTTTCAATGTTTGGTTTTTTATGGTTTTTTTGGGATGAAATTTAGGTACTTTAATGTTGCAATGAATGATTTCTCTACCTGGAATACTTCTAGGTATGTTTTTTTCTTTCAGGAACTTGTTTGATCTAATTCCAACTTGTCACAGGCCACAAGTGCGGGATCAAAAGATCAAGAGGCAATTAATTTTTTGGAGAAGAAAATGAAAAACGACCCTGCTTTCTCTTTCGAGGAAACAGTGCAGGTAAGAGGGAAGGCAATAAGCCCAAGAGTTCATCCTCCTCCCCTTCCTCTTCCCCATCTTCCTCTTTCTTGTTTAGTGCATGTCTTGGTCGTCTGTGCCAAGATCCAGATGATGCTATGTTGTTTTTTCAGAATAGGAATGTGTAATACCTGTGGTGCCCTAACTACCAATGTCAGTATGTCTAACATCCACAAAGCAGCTGAGCATTTATCATTGCCCTGTTTAAATTAAAATGCTGGAATGCTTCATTGTCATGTATAAAGCAGCTCTTTTTTAGGAACCTGTAGGACCAAAAGCTTACATGTACAGTGCTTGTTTTATACACCATTAATGTAGAAACAGAAAATGCACCTTTAACTGGCAAGACAAGATGTGGGATATGAATCCAATATTAGATTTTCTGTACTCTGCCAGGCAGTGAAAGATTCTAAAATGAACTTCACATAACTCGTTCACACTTTGAACTTTATCTCCACCGATCATCATTTTATACGTTACAACACTGGTGGTTCCTGTTCTATAAAAACTGTAATCTGGTTATTGCATGAATTTCATCAAGTTAGTATCAGAATTATATGAAGGTTATGAAATTCTGATGCTGCAACAATGCTGTTTTTGTGTAGACGGCAATTTCAGCGCTGCAATCTGTTCTGCAGGAGGATTTCAAGGCTAATGAGATTGAGGTAATCAATTCTTCTTGGATGAGAAGCTTTGGCGTGTTGGTCATCCAACTGTGTATTGGCAGAATTATTCTACTTTCTCTTTATCATCTTATTGTCTAGGAGAATTTTGGAATATGCTTTTATTTTTATTTTTTTGTGTATGTCACTTATTCAGCCCACACTTTGGAGGTTGTGGTTCTGGAATGATATCTGTTCAATTTATTTTGTATGGTTGCCTGACACCACTGCAATCCATCTTTGGCAGGTGGGGGTTGTGAGCAAAGAGAATCCAGTCTTCAGAGGATTGTCCACCGAGGAAATTGATGAGCACTTGACTGCCATCAGTGAGCGAGACTGATTAGGCAGAGGACCTGAGGTGGTTTTTTTTTCTAATCACCAAAATTTAATGAACAACTGCGTATCTGAGGCTGTTTTGAGGAGTATACATTTTGGTACTCAGAATTCTCAAATTTGCTTCGATTGATTATGGGTTCAAGATCATTTGAAGTTCCCTGGCATGTGTTATGGGAATCATCAAATTATGTTCTTGGATTTTCCAAACTATTACCAGGTTATTGATTTAGAATGTTCTATTTCTGTTTAATTGTTGTCATGGCTTTATTTACAAACAAAAACATGTTATTTACAGTGTGTTTGGTAACGTTTTTGTTTTTATGTTTTTTTTTATCAAAAAAAACAAAATTAATTTTTATTTTTCTGTGATAAAAAATAAAAAATATGTTTAGTAGTCATTTACGTTTAAAAAATTATAAAAACAAAAATAAAAAGCATATTTGGTATTATACTGAAAATCTATCCCCCAACACCACTAAACCCACCACCACCACCACCACCCACACCCAAAACCCACAACCACCCAGCCAATCACCACTAGCCACCCAACCACCGCCAAAACTCCACCAAAATGTTACCTGCCACCAAAATCCACCATCACCTAGCCAACCGGCACCAAACCAAGCAAAACCCATCACCAGTAGCCAGCCAATAACCACCAAAACCTCACTGATACATCACTCGCTACCAAGACCCACCACCACCTAGTAACTCAACACCAAACCAAGGAAAACCCACCACCATCAACGGCATAACTACCACCAAAACTATATCGATATTTCACCCGCCACCAAAACCCACCACCACCTAGTCGTCCAACACCAAACCAAGCAAAACCTATCACCACCAATCACCACCAAAACTATATCGATACATCACTTGCCATCAAAACTCACCACCACCTAGCATTTAATCAAGTAAAACCCACCATCACTAGCCACGCAACCACCACCAAAATTTCACCGATACATCACCTGTCACCAAAACCCACCACCACTAGCCATCGAAACATCATCCACCACCACCACCAAAACCCAGCAAAAGTTTAGCTTCAGAGTCTTCGCAGAGAGGACGAGAGGCAAATTTGAAGTCTTTGTAGAGACACAGACGAAAGAGAGAAGATGAGAGAGAGAAAAGTTGGGTGAACAGTAGGTAGGAGAAGAGAGAAATGACCTTTTATACTTCCAACTAAAAGTCTTAAATTTTGGTGTTAACAAGATTCGAAGGTAAAACCTCACTAAATTTTGGTGTTAACAATAAGTTATTTTTATTGATGTTTTCAAAAACATCCTTTTAGATGTTTTTATATTTTGGCCTTCTCTCAAAACGGAGCAGTGACCTAACGTTTTTTTGTTTTTTTTTTGCCATAAAATGAAAAAAAAAACAAAAAACATCGGGCCTATTTGGATATTGTTTCTAAAACTATTTTTTATTCTCAAAACTTGTTTGATCAGAATTTTCATTCTCTAAATTTTCAAAAAAAGTGAGAATTGAGATCAAATTTTAGAAAACAAATTGGGCTTGTTTTGGGGTGTTGTGGAGACAAAATATGGGAAAATGGAAAACACGGAAAACAACACACCTATTAATGAGGTTTGCTCTTTGAACCTCCTTAGTAGCAAAATTTGTTCTAATATAAAAGATTTTTTTTTTGTTTTTCTTTCTCCTTGACTTTCTTTCTCTCCACTTTCGCTCTCAAACAGAACGAACACATAAACACACACACACACACACACACACAAGGGCTTTAGATCTGGTTCAATTGACAAGATCAACCAGTTTTCAATTCGTGAGATCAACCATCTTCATATCAGTTTTTTTTTTTTTTTTTGATTTTTAGGTTTAAATTTAATCTAGCTCAAGGGGCTTCAGATTTAATCTAGTTCAAGGGACTTTAGATCTAATCTGATCTGATTTAATCGGCGAGAACAACTGACTTTGATTGGCAAGAACAACTCCTCCAGATCTTGTTCAAGGGATTGATTGCGTTATTTTTTTTTGAAAAAAAATAATTGGTGTTTCGTATATCTTTTCTATTGAATTTGTTTGGTTTTATTTCTGATGAAGGTCATTTATCTATTTTTTATATGGATTTTATTTTTGATGAAGGCCATTGATCTATATATATATATATACACACACACACACACACACACAGATATGTATTATATATAGATCTAGAGAGACCGAACACAGAGAGAGATTGATCGATTAGTAACAAATCAAACACAAATTCACCAACAAATTAGCAACAACATATATAGATAGGGTAAGTATGTATAATGATCAAGCTAGGGTTCTGGGTCTTACCATTGTTTCAATTTTTAGACTTAATTTTCTTAAACAAAAGATCAAAAGAGGATATAAGCTTATGTTTGCATTGTTTATATACTATGATAGTGTTAGATTCCCATCAAAATACAATCAAAATCAATTATGATACTGTCACATTTACATTATTTATAAACTTTATGTTTCAATTTAATTTGATCTCAGCAAATCAATTGTTATAAAATATTTTTAATCGACAAATTATTTTTTTTAATCTTAAGTATACCTGTTTGATACCATGAATTTGAAAAATATAAGAAAAAAATAATTTGAAAAATATTATATAGTTATATAATAACTATATAATATTATATATACTACTACACTAAACATTACTAGGGCCACATTTTAAACTTTTGCCTAAGACCTCTAATTAGGTTGGGTCGCCCTTGTTCAAAGAGGACATGGAAAGTAGCAGGAAACTTGTGCACATGGTTCCATTCATATACATGCTTGCTCCAATTGATGAAAGCATGATAAAGCTTGAAAAAAAATGAATAAACAATTCTATAATTCCTTGTAATCTGAAAATGGTAAAATTTTGAAAATCATGCTAAGTTCCAAATGTTTCAACAAACTATTTTGAGTATTGTTACATTGTGTACATTCGAAGAGGTGCTTAGTTGGCTTCAAACTTAAATCACTATGGGATCATGCTTCTTGGCTTTGAAGACTAGCTCTCACTTCAAATTTATCACCACCCTTACCATCGAAAGTTTATTGTATTGGACCACACTCTAATGCCCTATTTTTTTTTATATTCTTGAACGACAGTGTCAATATTATCCATTGACACAACCATATTATGAATTAGAACGATATGATCCAAAAATAACAATATGAAGGTGACATGACATGCATGAATTGACTAATCACTATTCCTAAATTGTCTGAAAAAGTGATAGTGTTATTAATCGATCTACGCACAACAAGAATTTTGTCATTTAATAAAAATAAGTAGTGAATTGCTAAGAGTGGAATTATGTGAGATATACCAATGGTAAGAGTGAAATTCATTTGGTGAAAAATTAAATATTTCTTGAAAAAAATCAATTGCAAAATTAGGATTTCCAAAATGCTTTTTTTTCCATTCAATTTTTTTGTTAATAAAAACACATCTGGATATATATGATGCCCAATATTAAACTTATAATGAAAAAATAGGAATAACAAATAAAAATTAAAGCTGTTAATCAAAATAATCCACGTGCATCGCACGAAGTCATTTACTAGTAAATACTAAATAGACTAATAGATCTAAAGGGATTGAGAGAGAGAGAGAGAGAGAGAGAGAGAGAGTACTGAAAGACTAAACGCAGAGATGAGGGACTGGAGGGAGGGTACTTTTTCATATTTTTTTATTTATTTTTGAATTACTATTTAAACATATTTTATTTCTTTTTGTCTGTAAAATTGTTTTTAGAATTATTTAATCAAACAAGTTATTAGTCTCAAAAAACATCAAAACACACTTTTCTAAAACTCTTTTTAAAAATAGTTTTAAGATATTATGCAAACAAAACAAACTCATGTTACCAAGCGGCACCTAAGATCCCAAAATCTCTCTCTCTTACGTGTGTGTGTGTGTGTTACCACTGGATGTATGTGTCTGTCAATGACTTCAAAGAGTTCCCTGGACCATTTTGATAGGAAATATTACTTGGTCGATTGGCAAGAAAGATGATTGCAAGGTTTCATTCGTGTTCCTGAGAAATAATTGTTCATTGTGGTGGACTCCACTCCCTTGACAAGAACGATAGTTTGGCTAATCTGAAACGTGTTTCTTGCCTGTGGTGCATTAATGTTCTTGACAGAATGGTCAGGCATCCTAAGATGCAGGTGGAGGATGGTAGTGATAAGAAGGATTAAGTAAATCAAATTGGATCAGGTTCTGAATCCGAGCTACGTTGGATTGTGATTAGATCTATTCGCACCCATAGTTCCGGACATGACTCTAGCCAGATTCATTGATTAATTTTGTCGGATCGAATCGTTTACAACATGAGTGACTAAAAAAAAAATTTAAAATTCTTTTAATTTCATCTCGCATGCGTATTATTTAATAAGTGGGGTCCATATTTTGACACCACTGAGTACTAGCAGTTATGACCCATTTGGAAAAAGATTGATGTTATCAGGTTCACCACGAAGGTCATCCATAACAACCTCTGTTTGTCCTTTGATTTCCGCCTTCAGCATGTATGTCAGGAAGCATTCAACGCCAAAAAAGTTGAAAAAAGTGCAATAAATTCGTCTTTGTTAACCATATGATATGATGTAATGGACCAGAAAGTGTAATTAATAGCTCAAAATTCAAGTATTTTATGGTCTGAACATGGTTAGCATTCTTCTTTTTACCATTCAGAATTTAGGTCTACGAGGCCACAAAATTACTTTGAAGAGGAGGGGGGGGGGGGGGGGAGGGAAAGAAAGATATGCAGGGTGTTGTCTCAGAGACAGAGACTGGACCATATAAAATCTCATATATAATGTCCATACACACCCAACCACCACCAATAGGACTGATTGAAACTGTCATGTTACATGTCCTTTTCTAAGTGTGTGGTTTACAAAATCACAACCTACATACTCTACCTCGGAGTAGTCTGCAGTCATTAACCAGCACATTGTCTGCAGTCATTAACCAGAACATTCACACAACATATTCAAGGTTAATTAGGACGCCTCATTAATGTCTGAGTCATGAGACGTCTCTCACTAGCACCTTTTAACTTAGTCCTCTCATCAAATTTTTTCTCCCTCCATGAATGTTCCCAAAGGTGTCCACGAAACTGAAGCCTCACCACACCATCTATGGGCTAGGTAGTTGCCACCAGTAGTGTAAAGATGGAACATGGGATGGTTAGAGACATTAATAATCTGCGATTTTGGTGACATAACAAACAGGGCTATGTCCCGTCAGGGTCGTTAGCTCGAAGTCCTGAGTTAGACTAAGCAAAAAAGCTTCGGTTTACCACATCCGTATGGCTTCTGGATTTGATTAATTCTCTTGATCACAATTAAGTATTACATAGTATAGAGTAAATCTAACGGATGACATGCATGGACTGTTTACTGTTACCTTTATTTTGGCACCATTAACATGTGATTCAGAACAGACACACCCATCTTCACCAACCTTTAGCAAACCCCGCACATCATTTACAATCACTCATTAATCTTGTTATTGCTCATGGACTCTGGACCTAATGGATTAAATATCCTTAACTGATCTTCAGGCCACTCACAAAGTTTGAGAGTCCCACCTCCTATGAGTCACAAATAATGACAGCTACTTTAGATTGCATTATCTGGATTTTATTATTGTTTTCTTGCTTATTACGTGCTTACATATGGCGTATGGCGTATGTGATTAGGGGTGCTAATTGGACTCGTTTTGGATAAGATTCGGTTCAAATTCAACTCGTATTCTAAACGAACTGAGTTTGAACAATTTTTTATGCTTATTTAGAAAAACGAACCTTAAAAGCTTGATTCAAACTCGGCTCGTTTATATGTAAAAATAGTCGAACGACTCTAACTCGGCTCAGGTTCGGCCCAGGCTCAGACTCAAACTCAGCTCGAGTTCTAAATAAGCCAAGTTTGAACAATTTTTAAGACTTGTTTAAAAAAAGAGCTTGGTAGGCTCGGACTCAAACTCACAAAGCACGGCTCAATTAACACTCCTATATGTGATGTTTAAAAGCAGTGTCTTGGTTTAGCATAAATCAGGTAACTTAGTTGTCTGGAAACCTCTCGCTTCCCCGTTGACACTAGCTGTTGACACTCTGACTCCAAACTAGAGTGTGGCTCTCAGATTGGCCTCCAATTCTCCCATATAGATCCATTTTTGTGCAATCTTTTGATCCATCCAACCATCTAAGGATCTATTTGTGGTTCTTTAAAAATCATTCTCCTAGTTCTACCACCTAGTTCTACCACTGTAGGGAGGAAAGGAAACACCAAGGTAATAAGCATTATAAATCAACTGGTTTGTTTAAAAGACGACGACTTGCAGTATAATTGCATTGTGTCTGTGAGAGAAAGACCTTGATAAGGAAAATGAAAATGTAAATGAAAGGCCCAATTTTCAATGAGAAAATGTGTTACCAAAACCTTGAAAGGTATTTCGCAAGAGCCTGGCACAGAGAAGATTAGCATCATTCTTGCGTAAGAATGACATGCACAAATAAAAAAATAGTTTTTAAAATATCCCAAGTCTGAATGGTTTTCGTAAGTGCTTTATATAGCTACCATTGAGCCAAAATCCCAAAGTTTGAGCCATGCCAACACTGATAATAGAGTTGCAGAACCATCCAATTGTATCCCTTTAGTGCTGAACATCAAAATGGTGCACTCTCTTTCTCTCTCTCCCCCTGCTAATGTGTTACTGTTTTACAGGGAACTTACCATTAGCTGAAAACAAAATTCAGTCATGGATTGAATTGTACTTGTAGGAAATACCATGCACAGAGAAATATGGAGCGATTTTTTTTTTCAATTCAACGGTTAGTAGTGTTCAGACCAATTTACATGCACCTCGATTAATTCTCTCTTCAATTCATCAAAGGTAGGTCATCAATTTCGAAATTATGAAATTTATGAAGAATAAGTCTCTCATGACCTGATTCTAAAGAATTATCAAAGTTCAAATTCAAAATATTTAAATTTACGGTCCGTTCCCACCCATTACCACTTGAGCAATGGGTTTCAATTAACTAATATATAATAAGATCATTCGAGAGTCACCTTCGTTGACTTTGTAGCTACTTTAACATCTGCATTGATTGGCTTCCCAATGAATGCATGTGGTAGAACAGTGGGCTTATAACCCCTAGACCCCTCAAATCTGTTTGCCAAGAATCACATTTGGTGTCCAACCCTCTAGTATTTGGTTGCACAATTAGGCCTATATTTAAATAGTGAGGTAGATTAAACAAAAAACTCTAACTTCTATGAGACCATTTTACCCCCACAACAGAACTTGTTTTTGAAGAACTATATCTTACCTCGAAAGGAAAATTCAATCACTGAACTTGACCACAAGTGATACAAGGAACCCAATTACAAGCACTAATGAAACATACACCCTAGTCTTCTGCCTGTCATCTTTTTATTTATTTATTTATTTTCTATTTTTCTTTAATTTTTTTTCAAAAACTATGTATATGAGAAGAAGGACAATGAGTTTCGAATCCACCATCATTAAATCCAATAATAGGACAGGACAGGACGATAACCATTAGAACAACCGATGAATCCTCTATCACTCATTAGTTCAAGCTACAAATTTTAGCAGGTGAAAGTTTCAAGTGGACCCAAAGCACTAATCATTGGACCTTTAGAATTCATAACATAATGGAAGGCAATAATGATACAATGACACTTACGACTCATAGTATTTCTATGGTTCACAGCCCTGGTGATTGACTTGTGTAGTGACATAAACTCAATTACAAAATTTCTTGGTAAATCCATGAGACAAGTAACCATGATCATTTGTTAATAGCAATAGACACACAAAACAAAAACAACTTTTTTTTTTATGATAACAACATCCCAATTAGTTACCTTTGAGTTTCTGACTTTTACTACCACCCTAGTAAAGGTTTTCTTGTAATATTCAAATTTAATAATAATTCTCGAAACTTTTTCATCCAAACTATCGAGTAATAATTTTCGATTTTCAATTGTATTCCTCCCATTTGACTGAGCGAAAAACAAACACAAGGACTATAGTTTTACACAATGATAAAAAGGTGCATAGTTGAAGGTCTCTATCAGGCGAGCAATTTTTGATGAATTCAGATTTTTCGTGATATATTTTAATTTTTTTTTTTTGACGTTCACGATGCGTGAGTGCGGGACCCTTTTGTATATAATGTGTCCCACTTAGGTCGATGATGAGTCAAGAAAGAAATTGAAAAAAAAGTGTATTTATATTAAATTGATTAAAAAATAGATAAAATGACCTTGTATTATCATAATATTATTTTTTATTCCATTTTTACACATAAATTTTAAATTTTTATCATTATAATAATATTACGTCATTTAATTTTTATTTTAATTTAATTTTTATTCAGTTTAGGATTACTATTGTCCTTTTTCTCTCTGTGCACAAGAAAATTTAATAGACGCACAAACATAGGTTCGGAAACACCTTAACCCTCTTAATACTTCCAAGCAAATGGTGATTTCGAGTTCAGAATCGCAATTTCCTGCTGTTAAAGCAAGTGTTCCAATGGAGGTTGAGTTCGTGAGATGTGATTCATGTGGATTCACAGAGGAATGTACTCTTGCATACATTTGCCGAATTCGAGAGCGCTACAGTGGAAGGTGGATATGTGGCCTATGCATTGAAGCAGTGAAAGATGAAGTTTTGAGATCAGAGATGCTTATAACTACTGAAGAAGCTTTGAACAGGCACATCAACTTCTGCAAAAGCTTTCGATCTTCATCTCCTCCTGCGAGTGCTACAGAGCATCCAATCTTCGCCATGGTACGAGTTCTTAGGAGAAGTTTGGATTCTCCGAGAGCTCTCCGATCAACACCTACCAGTCCTCTTCTACAGGTCCCTTCTCACTCGCTGGTACGCTCCGAGAGTTGTTTCTCTTCTCTGTCCCGGTGACAAACGTTAACTACTTATGAATTTAGAGATAACTTTGAAAGTGAACCAGACACCAGAAGTTTGTAATCACTGTTTGATGCTAATTTTTAGTTTTTCTTTTGTTTACTGAAAAAAAAAAGGCTGATGATATGTAGGTACTCTATATTCTCATCTTTGGTATATAGAACAAATGGTGAACCGAGTGCATGAGGCTTATCCCTGCATGTAGAGAGGCGGTTTCTCCTACTCGAATCGTGACCTCCAATTGAGGTCATAATGGAGTAACCTTACCGTTGAGTTTGGTATATATATAACATTATGGATTAATTAGGCCTGGATTTTTGTTTTTTAACAGCCTTTTGCTTCTCTTTTCAATGGCATAATATATCTATATTCAAAATTATGCCTACACTTGAGTCACTGGGCGCATAAGTAGATTGAATGTGGGTACAATTTCTGAATCTTAAACGTGAATTTTATGACATTGGATGGATGTTCTGAAGATTCGAATTCTCTACGAGGGACTATTGTACTTGATGAGTGTATGTTTACACTAGCAATTGCTCTGTGAAAATGAATAGAGCAATTCAATTTCAAGGCTTTTGTTTGGACTGGTTTGGTTTATCATTTTATATCTGTTTTTAGGCTATCCAACAGTGTGAAATGCTTGTTTAGATGGCAAGTAAATGAGGGAATATTGGGCAGAAAGGAAAATAAGGATGCTGACAAACAATGAAGTTTCTGGGAACATCTCCTGAATTGAAAGAAAGGAGAGTACAAGGCGGTTAAAAAGGTTGATTCTCCTACTCTTTTGGTCTTATGTGTTTTTTTTTTTTACTTTGCAAGACAGTCATTCTTAGCCTTAGGTTGCTTCCTATTTATATCAATTTTGTCTTACCCAAACCAATTCAGTTAACATGTTACCCAGTTCCATTGAGCTCAAGAATGACCAAACACGTACTTAGAACTTGGGGTGGCTCCCATCAATGGGGTATACCCAATTGGATCATGGCAATTGATCCAAATAGTTATGACCAGAATGGTTCTGTTTGCTATTCTGAACCAGTCATATCAGGAAGAGAATAGCTTTCTACAGGTACTCAGCTATGCTAAGTTTTCTGGTGATGCATGGCTATCAATAGATAGGACAAGAAGCATGTGGGACAGACACATGGACACCCACAGGTTTGGCTATGGCCATGAATTTTGATAAATCTTTCTGTTGGGCAATTATTTAGGGATACAATCAATCCTATACAACCCACATAAAAAATGCAGTAATGTGGATAAACTCTCTCTGTTCCATATGAGTGTAATCCTAGAATGAAAGGCTCTACCTGCTTTTTTCATAGCTTATAAACTAGAAAATATTCTTTGGGCTCTAAGAGATGAAAACTATCCTCATCAGCTTGGCTAAGAAGAGAGTGAAGATTTAAGTAGGTCCATTAGAATATGGAATATCACCCCACTGTCCAGTGGTGTGGCTTTTAGCAGAATCATATCTATTCTATAGTGACATTCAATGAAGCATTTGTCAACCCCATTTTTACCCACTTATCTATAATATAAAAACAGGGCTTACTTTAATAAGTCCATCTGACGGTCTCAAATAGACTCATCCAACGACTACCAACATTTTTCTCAAAACCATTCACATTGCACCGTGCTTTCAGACATGTGTTACCCCTAGTAAAAAACTAAAGTAACTCAGACCATATTCCAATATCAAGAGCAGTATTATCAATGGGGAGAGGGAGTAGTAGGATCTGATGAGCCATTTCTTCGTACAGTTCAACCTAGTTGGGATTATTCAGTTCTTTTTTTTTTCTTCTCATAGGAAACTAAAAAACCAAGTGGGTTAGTTCATTTTCTAATTCACATTGACACTTTGTAATTCTGGAAGTTGCTAATTGATTGACTTGATGCCCTGAATACTCCATCAATTTCTCATGCCATGACAGTATTTCCCTTTACAATTTTCTTTGAAAGTAGGTTCACCTAACCTGGCATAATTGCCAGGTCTCATCTGCTTTATGCATTTCGTATTCCCTTCACTAATTGAACTTGAGCTTAGTGTAGAGTGGAAATACCTAAACTAGCCTCTGAAAACAGAGCATACAAGGCTCTATAATTATCACAAACTGATATGGCCTCTCATTTTGAAGTGGGTGAGAATATTTATATTGTATGTCCATTATTCGTTCCTTAATTGTATAATCAAATAGCTTATAAGGCCACATGGGCAACAGAGGAAGCAATTAATCAATATGACAATAACCATTTACTCACATGCCATACAAGTTCCATTATATTTTCGGTTCAATAGCGTAGAAGATGAAATATTTAGGTCCCTACCTTAGGATAATATGGGCATCCCTGTTAGTTGTTTATTCCTTTGACATTTGCTTTTGGAGTTCACTTTTATATAATCTAACCCTACCATCAAAAGAATCAGTTCGACTTTTACAGATATGCTTGAACAATGTTGAAGACATTATTGTTCATCAAATACTGAGTTATGTCTCTATGTCAGTTCTATACTGTTGTCCTTTAGTTGAATCCTAAATTGAAGCTAAAAAACCAGATGTATACAATTAAAAGAGAATAGAAGCTCTCATTTCCCACAGGTATCTAGGATACACAAGTAGAAGTTTTCAGAAATGTCTCACGCTATATGTACATCTCATCTGCCTGAAAGCTGATAACATCTCGAAAGAAAAGAAATCAAATCAACATTATGAATGACATAGTGAAATATCATTAATATCCCATATGTTGGGAAGTTGGAAAATTATCTTCATCGTTAGCTTCTTTCTGATTCAGCATCTGGTAGAGCCATCATATATGTAGTCAAGAATGGCAATGATTCCAAAAATGAAGACCTGATCAATGCCAGGCTTCACCACTACATGATAAAGATCCTTGCTCACCATCACTTTCTCCACTCCAACCTGTGCACATTAACGACAAATCCAAACATTAGAGAATCCTTTTCCGTCTTTTGTTGGGGATTTGGGGGAATTAATTAGGTTTAAGCCATAGTGACTTCTGCTAGCTTTAGAAACTACTGTCCCAAGTATAAATGACCTGTGCTATTATGTTGCCTCTGGAGCCCATGATGCTGCAATCTCTTTCAGAAAAGTACCCCTTGATCTCATAACTAGAGTATTTGCTGCATTGACTTGGTTCAATGGAGATTCTGATCGGATTGTTCTGTACAAGACATGAATTTGGCTCTTTCAAGCTGAAAACTAACTTTTGAGATCCTTGGTAGCCCAAAGCGTAGCCTCTCCATTGCCTGTGGATGCTTAGTGCTTCAACTATACCTCCCTGGATAATAGAGGCACTAATTATTTGTCTACAACAGAGGTAGAACTATATGCATGTAGATGCCTAAAGTATGCTCCATCATTTTCTTATAGTTGTCAATTTGTTTTCAATGTTTGCGGCGGTACATATTGAAACAATTTTCATTGCCAGAGGAAAAACTGCATTTTCAAATTAAAAATTTGAACTTGTGAATGATGAAAAAACCAGAAAATGCTGTTTAATTTTCGCTACTGGAGATGGTTTATCTACATCTACCTTTGCCGTTCTTGAGTGAAGTAAGGCTTCCAGGAACAATTCACATGCCTATAACATACATATGTGAAACTCTAAGGGCGTATGTGTGTAATGCATTATTAAGATAACATCCCTTCATATACCTTAGAAAAGCTCAGAAGGAAAGCATGCATTTCCTCTGATGCTAGACCTTCCATAAGTTTTCGTATATATATATATATATATATATATATATATATATATATATATATATATATATATATATATATATAGCATCTATTGTTCGTATCTGCATTAAATATGTATTTATGCATGAATATACTGAAATGAGCCTAGCATGGTTTGATCAGAACAGAGTGTACCTTTCGGCGGATGAGAAGCAAATCATTTCCTTCACCATCCTTTAGAATCAGCTCCCCTTTTTTGCCAAGAGTTCCACAACCCTCTACCCTGAAAACAACCTTTTGGCTACAATCTGTGACCACGAAACCTCCACCACTCACAACATGTGGCCTCGATCGAACATCAAGAACCACCTGAGAAGATGAACAATAAGCCTTGCTAACTATGGGCATGATGCTTGCAGCCATTGGTCTCTCTTTCTTTTTCTCTCTTCTCTCTCCAAGAACTGATTCTATGATGAACTTCTTTTAAAGTCTCATATGTCTTCACAAAGCCATCTATTTATTAACAATGTAAAGGAAACTATTGTGTGTTCTGAATTCAATGGTTCGGCGAAGTCTTGACTTTCTACATTACAAGAATCTTCTTGAGTATAACATGTTATTCTTCCAAGTTGGAAATTAGGATTACGGCTCATTCCTATTATCATTTGAACTATTCTCAATGTTAGAATTTCCCTTTCTCTTCCATTGAAGAATAGATTAGATAAATTGTTGTACATTAATTAAAAAAAAATACCAAACAAACACAGTCCATTGATTGTGCATGCATGTCTTGCTATCAAGGGCAGAGGGAGCCTAGGGCCAGGGCGGCACGTGCTCCGCCCTCAAATTTTTTTTTTTTGTTAGTTAAGTATATATATTATATATTTGTATAATAATTTGTGCCCCACCCAAAATCTAAGATAAAAATATTAGGCCCACATTATTTACTCAATAGAATTAAAAAATTAAGTCCATTTAAAATAAAAAAATTTCAGCCCACCACTATTTACCAAAACTTATTAAAAAATAAAATCTTTGACCTATTACATCCACTCAAACCTATTACAAAAATAAAATTTTTGGCCAACTCCCAGTTGCCCAACCAGAAGAAATAGAGTAAAGCTCATTCCTCAATTCCTTGGGCTTTTTTGTCGTTCTTTGCACAGTTGATGGATTTAGTAGAGAGCATGGCCGGAGCTAGCATATGTGTCACCCCTCAAATTTTTTTGGGTTCTTTGGAAGTCGGTACACCTAATTAGACTTATTTGACAAAAAGTACACATTAAAAATATTTAGAAAAAAGACTTAAATGCCCTTTTTTATTATTTTTATTTCATTAAAAAATGTAACATTACAGTTATCATAACTGCTAAAATTTAGGCTCAATTAATTCAAAATCTTTTCAACTTCCTCAAAAACTGTAATGTATCTCTTTGTTCCAAGGAAAAAAATGGTTGTTCATTATTTCTCTTCCCACCAAACCACTAGTCTGCATATCCATTCAAAAAAATCGATTCATCTTCTTCCTCAAGCCGATTCATAGAAAGGGTGTTGAATCTCCATTGTTCATCGATTCCATTGTTCATCTTCTTCCTCAAGTCGATTTCATTGTTCATCTTCTTCCTCAAGCCGATTCAGATTACAAACGGTCGATCGATTAAAGAGGGTTTTCTTAGAAGTGAGTTTTTTCGGCATTGTCATTTGAAGTGGGTTTTTACGGCATTGAACTCTTGTTACTTTGATCTTTGCTCGTTGTTGCAATGTGGTCGATTGTGGTTGGATATTATGTGTTCATTCACTATTTTGATCATCGAAGTGGTAATCTATGTATGTATATTTATGTGTGTGTGTGTCTATGTGTATATATATATATATTGTGTATTATGATAATGGGTTACCAAATCAAAAAATTTAGTACAATATATATATATTTTTTTTTTCATGTTTTCATGTTTATGTAATTGTGTGTTATCATAATGGGTTACATTACACTTTTCATTTTTTTTTGGCTTTAATTTCATGTATTGGAACCCTATTTTGTTTGTCTGAATATTGAGAGACGAATAATGTTCATCTTTGTTGTTTTTTGGTCAGAAGCCTTTAAATTATGTGTTGTTTATACCATGAATTATTGGATGTTGCAACCCTTTTTTTTTTCAATTGCTGGCATATCTATGTGAACTAGATTGACTGAATACATATGCACACAGACGTTGTGTTGTGTTGAATTATAAAATGAATGTTACACTTTTGTTGTCACACTTGATTTGAAACACTTTTATTTTGTTACACTGAATCTTGTTTTTTTTTGGTTATAAAACTTTATTGTGCTGTGAAGTGTTAAGTGACACAATTGTTTATTATTTCTTGTGTGTAATTCTATCTGATTACACTGTGTGTAAATCCTAAGTGTTGAATGTATTAATATGACAATGTAAATATATAAAGTGTAACATATAAAGGATAACATATAAAAATATAACAAATTTATCAAGACAATGTTTAACAATGGACAATTCGAAAAAAAAGTTGTTATTTTAAAAAATTTGTGTGCTGTGAGTGTTAATTGCCTGGATTGTTTAGTGACATGATTCTTTGATCTTATACTCTGTGATTAAACATTTTTAAGATTAAATGTTGATTGTGTTAACAACATAATGTAATATATAAACTGTAATATGTAAAGGGTAACACATGATGAAAGTGTACCAAACTTACTAATATAGTATAACAGCATACTAGTTTATAAACAAAATAAAGAACAGTAGACCATTACACGTGGAACTGTATATTTGTTTTTTTAAATTGTTGTTGTGGTGTAATAATACAGTGTGCAGAAATGCAAATTGATTATTCCTTGATAATGTTGACTGTAATACAATGTTAAGTGTAAGATGAGACATTTCTTGACAATGTTACACTTTCCACTAACACAAGGCAACACTTTACATTTCCCCCTTATTGTGTAATGTGAGACATTACCTAAAGTGTTACATAAACATAATATTTATCTATCATTTTACGCTTATGTTCTTTCATTGAGAAAGTTTGAAAGTGTTGTACTTTCAGTATTGTACAACACTTTCAAACTTTCTCAAATAAAAGAACATTAGTGTATCCTGTAACACTTTATATTTTACATCAGCTGAGGTTGGACATAAGTAACACTTTACACTTTATACTTTCAATGTTTCATAAAAAAGGATGACATTATTATTGGTTCACTTTTTTGCTTATATTCTGTTTTATACTTCATTGAATTTATTTATATTCTAGTTTGTGCTTCACAGATTAGACTGTGTTATACATTATTTTTGGTTCACATTTAACTGTGTCATACACTGTTATTTGATTAACTTATGTGGTTGTGTTATACAATATTTTTTGGTTAGCTTATTTGTTTATATTCTTATATACCAGTGTCTTGTCGATGTCGATGAAGACCAATATCGGATTGCAACTGGATGGATAAGAAGCATAACTCGCCTCAAGGCTTGAAGAAGCAACAAAATCGTCTTGCAGGTGATGAAGGAAAATCGGCTTCAGTCAGTAATAATACCAGAAATATACCCAGCTTCATGAAGAAAAATACAACCTTATATTTCCCTCTTAAAAAGCTAAAAGTAATAGTGTATTTAAAATTTAAAATTTTATTGGAAAGTATTGTATTTCTCTCTCATAAAACTAGGACTTATTTAATACACAAATATAATTTGAAAACTAAATCTTTTTCAATAAAAAATACACATTCACCAATGCAGGGAAAAAATGTCACAATAAAAATAGATAAATTCAAATTATGTACTTGAATACAAATAAGTATCAAAATTAAGTACTTAATAACCCTACATTTTTTAGTGTGTACTTTTTGTCAAATAAGTCTAATTTGGTGTACCCTCTTATAATTTACCCAATTTTTTTTCTTAACATTACCTATATATATTTCAAGTATTTCTTCAATATTTTTAATTATGTCCACCCTATTTTTTTGGCACGTGTACACTTATATTAAATAAATATGAATTTTTTGGACATGTTATGTATATTAAGACCAAAGTGATAAAATGATGGTGTACACAAAAAATAATGAAGTTGTTACGCAACGGTTTCAAAGTATGAAAATTCACCGGAGTCAATTCTAAATGATTTATATTAGTCCATATTTTGTAAAAAAAAAAAATTTGGTGTCGTTTGTATATACTAAGCTTACCAAATATTGGTATGTTAGGTTTAATGAACTTTTAAGTATTAAATAGGATGTAATTAAATATAAATTATTGTCCTATTTCTATTGATTGTAAAAAAAAAATTAATTTATTAAAATATTTGTACCCACCCTGACATGAATTTTTAGCTTCGCCCTGCTTGCTATATAGCTTTCCCTTAGATTCTTACCATGCATGAATTTCTTTAAGTATGCTTTTTGAAGCAATTCAACAAAGAGGGCGTGTGCTTTTTGAATTTGGCAGCCTAATGACCAGAGAGGAATATTTCGATCATACGCATCTTCCATTGGTAGTAAGTCATGCGTATAAAATTGCCCAAACAAAACTATCCTTTTTGAGGGTTGGCCTTTCCTAAGGTATCTTGTTGAAATTGATTTGAACAAACGTTTTGATCTGTTCATCATGCGTCTGATTTTTATTGGTGCATTTTATGGAGACATAATTCCTGCCTCGACACGTGGAACAATTTAGGAAATTGGACCAACGGACAGGGTCAATGACCTGTTTGGTTTTTTTTTGGAAAAACAAACACAAGCTTGAAGGAAATGGGCAGAACTGAGTTGCCTAGGACTTAAGTTTGGTACTAGTTAGACAAGGTCAATCAATTTCTAGTTTGAAATGGAAAATCTGGCCTTTCTTAATGCATGGAGACCCACTAAGCACAGAGAATTTGTTGTCTCAGCTCTTTGGTGTTTTCATGCAAATAAGAAAGATTGGGCCAAAAATTTTTCTGTTGGATAAATAAAACTATATTAATTTGTTACATAGCCAAGAATAACTTACATAAAAGGACATGAAAGTGACAGAACGGAGGTTTTTTGGGCTGGTGTTAGAGATAAATCTAATGTTCCGTTTGATATGATGGAAAAGTGAGAGGATTGAAAGTTGGAAGGATAAATAAAACATCATGTTTGGTAAGGAAGAAAAATAAGAAAGATGGAAAAGTGGATGTATTAACTTTCCTTCTAACTCATCAAAATCAATCCCTCTAAAATCGAAAGGAAAGTGGATGAAAAGTTAATTATTTGTGTTGAGATGTATTTTATTTGTCTATATATCTTTTTATATATACATATATTATATATACATTAATTTCATATTAAAATACAATGATAAAATATGTATATATATTAAAAAATTTTAAAAATAAATTTTAAAATAAAAATTAAAAATTAAAAAATTTAAATTAAAAAAAAT